GGGCCTCAGTCCTGCTGCGTCGCCCGTAGGCCCCAGGCGGGGCTTCCGCGGGCTTGGCTCCGGGCCGGGCTGGCGCAGCCTTTTCTCCTCTTAGGCCTCTTCTGACTGAATAGAGCTGTTTTATGGACAGTGGTCTTCTGGGTGCAAAATTGCAAAGTACGTAATTTTCCACCCGAAAATTTGCTTTATATGTTGACGTCATCATTTTCAGAAAGAGCAGCACAAACAGTTTATTTGACTAATCTCCTGCAAGTATCTGCCACGTAGACTTCCAGCTGTTCAGCTTGAGAGGGCCCATTTAGAAAGTATCCGATGGCACCTTGGTGTGTCCTGGGGAACGTGGTGCTAAAAACGTCAGTGGTTTAATGAGCTTAAGTTTACTAGGCAATGCTTGCAGCGTCACTGATGGTGTAATTCAGGGTACGGTTTAACAAAATGGCTTGATTCAAACCGCCAGGCACAGATTCTGCAAGGGGAAGTCCCGCTCCTTTCTGTCATGTTCCTGACCCCTGCCCCCCTTGCACCCACAGAGCCCTCCCCACAGCTCACCTTGATGCTGGCTCGGGAACTCATCACATACTAGGTGATTCAACTTGCTAAATCAGTAGCAAAAGCAATTTAAAATGCACTTTGTTCTTCTCTGCTGGGTTTATGAGTTGAACAAAATTATGAATGAGTGCAAAGAAAAACATTTTGGGGAGAAAGAACCAGAAAGGATGGAGCCTTTTCTGATCCAGAAACTGTTTATTTGTCTGAGCTGTCAAGTAAAACCGTGTCAGTGAGATGCAGTGAACCGATCCAAGAGCACACACAGTCATATGTTTTACTCTTAATTCCTCTTTTTCCCCCTTCCGACACCTTAGATGGGCTGGGATGCTCCACAGACCCTTGTGTGAGCTGATTTACCACACTAAAGGAACGGAAAAGTAAACAAGCAAAAATAATATTCTGCCATTTTTGGGTCCGGAGAGTACCACAGCTCAGGAGGGAGAAGGTGGGTCTTGTGGCTGGGAGTGATGCAGGGGAAGAGGGATAGGGGTGATCTGAGCAGGAGTTTTCCTCTTGGTAGCAGCCAGCCATTGTACAGTACCTTCTTCTCAAACCCTGCCTCCAGCCCTAGCTGTGTGACCTGCTGAGAGTTCAGCTGGCCCCTCTAGAAGGGCGTCTCATAATAAAAGCAGAAAGTTAGTGGCTTCTTGTTCCCATGAGATTTAGTTGCAGTCTGCTGGGCAAGCAGAGTTAAATAGCAGCTCTTAAAAAAAAGGCCCTTTCAGATTTTCTCCTGGAACCTAAAGCCACTTGACAAGTTAATCTGGTAGACAGACAGGAACGTAACAAACTTTGGAAATAAACAAGGAGCCCCAAAACAATTCCATATTGCTGGCGTCACATCTCCACTTAGTGTAGAGGGTTCTGTATAATAAAAGGAGAAACAGGTTTAAAAACATATTCATGAAAAGTCAGTAGCTTATTAGGAGTAAAATTTTATTCTGCGTGTTTGAAGCTGTATTCTTTAATTCATTAAGCCTTTGGGGAGTTACTTATCATTAAGCAGTATAGGAAAATGCTCAGAAAAAGATGTTAAAATAGATTTATTCTTTAATAGATAAAAGCCCATTATAACAATTCAGACAACTTTTGGTATAGATACACATGCTAGCTACAGAGCCTCTTTCTATGGAGAAGTCCTGCCAGAGTAGCTGAAGATATCAGGTACTAAAACTGACTGGATCCTGTCAGCACCCCTGTGAAGCTGGAAGACAGTAACAAGCCCCAATGGGAAACCTAAGCTCTTTGTGAACTGCACTGCCGACAGTCCCATCCACTCTGATTTGAGCTAGTAGTTGAGTCTGTATTTCTCGAGCCACCATCCAGGTTATTATGAATTAAACTGCTAATCTGAATAGGCTTGTTTTATTAGCCTCTTGCTACTGCTTTCTTACTACTGGTTCTCCTGGTCACTCAGAATAAATGGAATTATTGTTAATATACACATGCCCTGAAATTACAGCAGCTTTGAAAGCAAAATGAATACATGTAACAGTCACGGTTTGCTTCTGTCTATGTAAATTTTTGAGAGATGAATTACAGGTGTAATTCACCTTTGGAAGAGCAGTAGGTATCCTGAAATTTGGGGCTGCCTGAAGAAGTATGTGCGTGCTTCTGGAACATTTGCAATGTAATAGGCCATTATCTGGCTACAGTCCTGTTCCAGACTTGGTACTTCAGAAGCAACAGGTGCTAGGGCTGAGACCAGCTGAATTTGCTGCAGTGGTGAAAGAGTTTATGGCCCCATGCATCCACCCTGCTCCTCTATGACAGATTATTGTCCCCAGCACATGTCTGTATCTTAGCTCTTGCCATTCCAAAGCAAGGATCTTTGCTGAAATAACTTCTAAAGACAGACCTGGTCTAAGTGAGGCTGAGGTGTCTATGGACCAGATACACATCCTGGTCTGCTACAGCCATACAAATTTCTTCCAATACTACACCAAAATCTGATAGATGTTGCTGGCCAGACCTAACAGTATGAACAACTAGGGATGCAGGGTGTGATGCTGAAAGGCAAACTACTGGAAGAAATTTAAAATGATAAGATCGTTTACAAATAAAGGAAAGAACCCTTCCTGGAATTCCACTCCAGCCAAGAGGAGCTGAGGGTGGCATAGCAGGGCCTGTCCACAGCCTGGCTTTTCTTTTCTTTGTGTTCTGTTTCTGGATCACTATGGGTTCCCTTTCCAATAGAACAAGTTTTACTGCTTTCATAATTTTCAATTTATTAGCACATTAGTAGTATAATTAAGTAACAGATGAACTCAAGTTTAAAAACATGCCAACTGAAAAGCAATTTTGGAAGATATGCATGCAACACTGTAATAGTTGTACAAATATGGCACAATATCACATACCGGTGGAATTTCACTTAAAAATAGCAATGTATTTTTTTCCCCTCCCAGATAAACATTAGAAATGCTGAGAAAGTCAGCACAATAAATAAAGCTTTTGCTGAAGTTCAGGAAGAAGTACAGCAGCTATCAAAAGGCACTGCAGCAGAACCTCAGCAGAGTCATCAGGTAATTGCCCTTTGTAAAAATCTGAGAAGGTAAATGAAAGGAAAATGCATGTTCAAAGCATTGTATTCTGGCGCTAAGACTGCGATGCAATTAATGCAGCTGCTTTAAAGCCATAAACCCAGCTGTATTAATTTCAGTTGTGTGGTAATGTTGAAATCTGGTTAGCATACTCAAGTGCTATGGAACTCCTAAAGTCAAGAGAGAAGATGGTGGGCAGCCAAGCTGGAGCATGCTTCCAAAACATATTTTTAAATTATGTTCTAGTGGTTTTTAATTATTTTTTTTAAAAGGTAATTCCAGCTCCAGTCCCTTGAGACTTATGCCTCAATATGAATAGACACAGAAATTAAGGATTAACCTTGCTGTTCCCTACCTGAAGCACCTGATAGTGCTTTGAACCAAACAAACAGCTCTGCCTCCTTCTGTTCCCAATTCCTAAGCATACTCCCTCATCAGAAATACCAACACTTGAAACAGCAATTTCTGTACTAAAGATCTTGCCTGTAGCACTTAGGGTTCAAGACAGTGTTTTACTTGTCTTCCTTTGTCTGCTCTATTTAACAGGGCTACATGCAGTATCAAGCAAGAAATAATTCACAGGATTTAATTGTAGACAAGCTCCTCCATATAAACTCTTTATGCTGACTCTTCCTGATGTACTGGGCATGGTCTGGGGGAGAGAGAAAGCAGCAAGCCAGGACAAAGTACAGATGAATCCATCCTGGCTGTTGGGTAGAGGCCAAAGTAGAGGGAGTTTGGAGAAGTGAACATGAGTGTAGTTTTATTTACTGTGCCTGGGGTGATCAAGTTTCTGTATGGCTGGGAGCGACAGAACACGTGTCAAATACCTTAAGGAGAGGCTGGGGGAAAAATGAAATGTAGGTGACAGTGCCGCCAGCACAGGATGAGGCTTAGCAAGGATTTCAAGGCAGTTGGTGCCAGTGGCCCTATCCCTGCTGGTTTGCTATTGCACAGAGCCAGGAATTCAGACTGTACCACTGCTTGTGTGCTGGTACAGCTGTATGTGATGTAATGTTGCATTTGATCACTGGGGCTGTAACAGTATGTTCTCCAAAGCTGCAAAACTATGTTGAGAGTATTATTTCCTGAACTAAAAGATAAGCCTATGTTACATTACTGGCACCATGCTTTGTCTTTCTCCTGCAGCATAAAGTATTGGCTGCTTATCTGTCAAGTTTAGTGAATGCTGTAAATACCCATAATTATTGAATTATGATTGAAAAAATAGCCTAAGTTAAATACATAAAGACAAACTAATCTTCTAGACAAGTGTTTATTAGAGGTTTTTCCCAAGCAGAGTAAAAAGATACTGTTTTCTACTTTAACTCTTTTTTTTCAGGTTTCCACACATCTGGAAGAAGAACCAGCAAACGTGGATGCTGCCACAAGCCTATTATCTCAGTTGTAATGCACAATGGACAACGAAAGGATTGCAAGAAATGAAGACGAAAAACACTGATGCCTTTGTTTGTACAATTTTATTAAAAAAAAAATTTGTTAATATACAAGTATTGGCACACTTTAATACAAACTACAAACAGACCTTTCCTATCATCTAGGAAAGTGGAATGTCAGAAGTCAGTGTGAGAAACTTAAAGTGCTAAAACAGAAGGCACTTCACAAAATAGGTTCACTGAAACAATTTAACTAACCCAAGTTGATATCCTTCACTTTTCAGGTTGGCAGTGAAAGCTTCAAAATCTATTGAAAGGTTAAAAAAAAATAGAAAGCTTCTCGGCAGTAAAGCTTCAAAGAAAATGCTGTTAACTGTGAACAAGAAGCCTAACCATTTTTTAAAAAATTATCAAAAGGCTATAAAGCATTTTTGCTTTTCTTACTAAAGAAAACTCCAAATAATTGGATTACACAGAGGACACTCAGGTGGAAAAACGTGCCAGGATTTTTGATAAAAGCCCTTTTTTCTGGTTGTTGAATTTGTTTTGTGAAGTAGTTAAAGGAAGCAAAAGGAATTATACTCCCAGAGTCAGTGAACTAAGAAGTTATACATTCATTATTCAAATACTTAGGTTATGAAGAAGTCTAGAATGTTATAGTTAGAGGTAGATAAGTAGTCTGGTTGACACAGTATCTAATAATTTAGTATCTGCACATCAAAGAGATCACAGACTCCTTCATTATCATCCAGGTTAAAGTTGTAGTCATCTCCGGGAGTAGGAGAGAGTCGTAAGAGAGGAAAAACTGTAAGGCAGGAATAGTTTAGTTTAAATTAAAACAATTTTGGAATATAAGCCCTATGTCATAATTCAGTATGTTTGTCATCACCAGTATCAGGGTTAGTCTTAATTAAAATAGTCTTGATAATCTGACAAGCATGCTAGGATACATACTGTGAATACCTCTATTGCCTTCAAACTAAGGCAGTAAAGTGATGTGTCTACATTTCTTGCTTAGTATTTTAAGTGCATTTGCTGGAATGGAGTGATAGCAGTGGAATATGGACTTAACAACTTCTGCAGCAAAGGAGCTCCTGAGCAGCTTTTGAAACTTTCCTCAGAAAGCTGTAATTTATGTTCCTTCATCTTGTTACAGGACTGCATGTATCAGACTTCAAGTATTTACCATTTTAAGTAAGGAAGTTACCGTTATCCCTATTTTACAGATGACGAATGGAGGCTAGCAGTTTCTGTGCACTGCATTTCAAGCATGGACTTGAAGCCGCCTTTGGGGAGAGAATGCAAGAAGAGAAACCTCAGCCCTCATGCTGCACCTCAGGAACACTAACCTAGTGCAGATGAGCTGGGCATGCTGTGCCTGCTCTAAAAGTGGAGACTATTTCCATTTTAGCCACGTATTGGCACGTTCGCATAATCCCATTTTGCCCCTCCGATCTTATAATTACCCGTTTCTTTTTGGATAAACCCTCAGGTTGTCTGCTTGATGGGCAGACACTAGCAGAGGCTGCTCACAGTGGCGTATTTACAGGGCAAGAGGACCAGCGCCAGCTGAGTTCACCTCTTTACCTGGTACCTTAGCGAGACAGAGCAGAGAGGCAGGGAACATGTGAACTTACTAGTTGTGGTTCAGTTCAGCACCTGTATGGCCACCGAGGTGCAAGAGCAGAAACAGGTGACATTTGTCTATTCTGTTAGTGTACCACAGCTGGCCATGTATCAGTCTGCATGCAGGCATGTAAATATGTTCTGAAATGTTTTCTCAAAGCTACTGCAGGAAGCCTGAGGCCAAACAGAATTAAACCCAACTTTTTTTTTTTTTTTTAAGGCAGCATTCTAGTCATCAGCCTGATCTTTCTTTGTTCCTGAATTAAGGACTGGTCGGTTACTCATGCATGTAAGTTCTTGCTGGATTAAGGCTTTCATGTTTTGATTGTTAAATAAAACCGGTACAGGGAATGGAAAGGGGAGCAAAGACAAGAATGTCAAAGATAGAGGAGGCAGTGCAGGGGAAAGAGGTAGTTTCATACTAACTCTTGGCATCAGATTTAACAGACACCTACCAAGAGTGCTATTCGCACAAAAACCACGCTGCTACTTGTGATTATTAGAAAAGTAAAGATGCTAAATACTTACCGTCAGAAGACATGAGTTCATCAATAATATCCCCACCGATATTTCCTGTGAAAGACAGGAGCATGTGTTTATGGAAATCTACACATGTTCTCTGCATTAAAACACTGAATTGCACAGTATAGTATGGCTCGTGCAATGTAGGAGCTGTGGAGACAGCATGCCATGTATATATAAGCAAAGTATATTCATCTTTGTATCCCTCAGTTTTTCCAGATACATTCCTCCCACTGATCCTTTATAGCCGTAGAGCCATGTACAATATGAAGCTTACTTGGTGGCAGAGAAAGGCAGTTTTCTCAAAATGAGTTTGCTGCTCAGAGCTGGCTCAGTGGTTTCATTAGATGAACAAAGGCCTCTCGATTCCTCTGTGGGAAAAGTGCTCCTCTCTCCCTCTGTGTAACTCATCGCTAGCTTGGTCACAAAGAAGGGCTCAAGAAACTAATAGAACCATTTAAACATTAACTGCTTGTTCCTACCTGCAGGCTCCTCCATCTTTGCCATGTCGAATGAGTTTGGCTTGAGAATACAGTTAACATCCAGGGGCAGCAAGCCCTGGTAGTCATTGGAGCTAGCTGTAGCTTGGGCGACATCTCCTGAAAGGCTGGGGTACAACACCGACTCTTGAAGGCTGGAGTAAGGAGCTGCTGGGATTGTACTGTCCTGCTGCACACTGCCATCTACAAAGACAGAAAGGCACATTGTGAAGTCCCTTATGGTAAAAGGGAGCACAAAAGGCCTGCAACTGGCTTTGAGAAGAACATAGCCAATGTCTGGGATGAGGTGAGAGGAGTCTTCCCCCTTCCAAAGTCACAAGCACAATGTCATTGGCAACACTCAGAAATGCAGTGTGTAACACTGACAGCATCTTCGTAAGTATTTTCTTATTACCCTACTATTATTATGAAAAAAATACCTGATATTCAGGCAGTCTCTCACTGTGGCTATGTGGGAAGATGGTAAGTGACCTCGTGGCACAAAAGCTGCAACTGGTGCCTGTGCTATTTGTCTCATTAAAAGGTTCATGTTCAAAACACGGACTCCTTCACACGCTGGCCGTTTTGTTCCATACTGCATTCTGGAGAAGCATCTCAATAATTAACAGGATCACATCCAAAAGCTGTTTGGTATAAGGTGACAAGCTACAAGGGGAGAATTTGTTTCACCACACAAGAGGCTTCTCTGTAACCTCCCGAGAGCCGTTAGCCTTTAGGGTAGTTTCTTAACAGACAGCTGCTATGCAACACAAATTTTTGATCTTTCCTTCATCTACCACCTTTTCTAATAGTTTCTTCTTTTCCCTCTAGTTTCCTTCCTTCCCCACCCATCTGAGGTAGGAAAAACTCTGGACCCACCTGATGGCGTGTCTGCAACTGATGTTTGTGGCAGCTCTTGTCCTTGGTTCAGGTCATGTTCTGGTGGATTTTGTGGAGCTGTAGCAGGTTTAAGGGGAGTCACTGGAGCTGCAGGTTGAGATGGGGGCTGTGCAAGGTCATCAGGGGGAGGAACTGGAAACACCATGGGCTTGGAGGAGCTTGAGTCTTTATTTATAAGCAGCACATGGATAGGTCCTGAACTACTTTTAAGATTGATCTGGTACTTTTTCTGTCCATTCTGTCCCTGTAAAGGTGGCATGTTATGAAAGTTACCTTTCCTTGAGAACTTGGAACTTTACAAAACGTAACAGTAACTGGACAGTTATTTCCCACAGAAAGTAATGAAGATGTTTGAACAGAATTCTCAAACTGATGTACTTTTTACCTCCCAGAAAGTAAATACGGTGCTCTTCTAGTTAGATCACTGATAATTGGAACAAACTTATCAAATCATACTCAGGAAAAGAAGTATTTAATACAGTGATCTAATAAACAAACCAGATTACAAACCTGTAATGTATTTACCTGACCAGACCACTGTTACAGAGGACACAAATACACAATTCTTCAAAGTGCTTAACTAAATCCTGAGTTCAAGTTACACATAGTGGGACTACATCGTAACAATGGCAACAATGATAGATAATGATTTCTGCACATTTCTTCCTTTTAAATGGAGCTTTAGAATGATCCCCACTGGGACCAAGCATCCTAAAACAGCTGGATATCTCACCCAGACTGAGTGAACACAGGATCATGAATCAGTAGAAACAATTTCTTAGCTGACTTTCCAGGCCTTCTTTTGGCAAGTTACTTAAGCAATACAGCTAGGACTAGCTTCCTCTAGCACAGTCTCAATGAGACCGCTGATTCCACAGTGGCTAATTCAGCAAACAGGTTTTCAGCAAGTACATTCTAAAAAAACCAATGAGGATGAAAAAAATGGGAAAGAAGCCTCAGGGAAGGGAAACCAAAGCAAAAACATCCAATTTGAACTTGTCAATGAAGACTAAGGTCAGCTGTTTTAGTCCTTGACAAAAAGCCAAAAAAAGCCAAGCCACCCCCAACATGACAGCTGCTACCTTTGGTCCCACAGAGAACCTTACCATTGCCTGAACTGATTTCAGCAGAGACGGACAAAGATAGTACCACTGATCAGCTTCATGGTTCTAGCTTTGGATGCTCTTATGATATTAGACTGTGCTTAGCCTCACTAAAAATAGCTTGTGAAACTTCTTGGGTGAATTTCAGCCTTCTACAAGCATAGTGGCTATCATGCTTCATACAATGCTCTCGCCCAACTATGTAAACCCTATTTAAAACAGAGCACTGCAACAAAAAAAAATATTAAAGATGGACAGAGGTAAGTAATTTGGCCTCCTACTTTAATCTTGCCCATTTAAGCCTTTTGGCTAAAGCAAGACTGCAGTCTGTTTCTCTCTCCAGTCTAGTACCACGAGACTAAACATAAACTATAGCTAAACTAAACCTACAACTAAATCTAGGAGGCTTTTTCATAAGAGATCTGTTTTAACTACAACAGAGCAATTTGACACATAAAAGTCACTGCTAGTAAGTTCTCAGGGGAATTCATGACAATTATGCCTAATTTGGAAAGTTGCAACATTTAAAAGCCAGAGAGAAGAAGAGAGGGCAAAACCCCCCACTATGGTATCTTGTTTTTAATAGAAGACAGAGTTACCATTAGTCTATCTAGGTGTACAAAAAACACTTTTTCCTACCTGGCCCCTCCCTTCTCAACTGAAACCATCTTAATTTTTATCCCCCCCCCCCCCCCACCCCCCCCCTTGCACACAGATAGAGATAAAACCTCTGTTCTAATGTAGCTCTTCTTTTCCACTGTCCCTCTAGAAAACTTAGGTAAACAAGAAACCAGTACATACCATTTCGGGTATAGGTACTTCTAACTGTGTACCACAAGGTGCTTGAATTGCTAGAAGTGTGTCTCCTGGTTAAATAGCAATTTTTAAGAAAGTGTTAAGTGTGCATATTTTTCTTAAGTTTTGCATGGTATCCACTCAAATGAGATACGGTAATTCTCTAAGGTCACTTTAAATACTGCATAATTCTAGCATGAATAAATTTATGGTGGGACTTGCATAGTCCGTATAAGATCCAAGTATATCCTGTAATATAAATCACAGAATTCAAATACTTAGACCATAGTTGCAAAAACCTTTTCTCGTAGCAGTACAAGATCTAGCACTTCTTTTACCTGTTTGTTACTGTCCCCAGATCTCCTAGCTGTATATGTAATGTGAGGTGAAAATACTTAACTAGTTTCTTTTTCAGCTAGCAGCTTTGTTCCAGCTCACTTTATGGCTTTGAAGAGTGGTGGTACTACAGAGAGATTTAACAGAAGGAAAAAAACGTCTTGATGAACAACATCAGTGCCAGCGCTTCCCAGTGTCTAAGCTGACAGCTTCTGCAGCACATACAACTGGGATGTAAGAGCTGGCCATCAAACTCACCTGTGGCTTACTATGCACACTACTGGTTAAAGTCAGGAGATCACAATCACATCAACAGCACTGGCACAACCTGCCTTACACTGCAGGTCACTCACCTACCTTATCATCATTTCCCCTTTGTCTGTAACTTAGAATAATGGTTTTCTTCCTCTGCCTCCTAAGAGATACTTACATGAGTCATAGAATCATAGAATAGTTTGGGTTGGAAGGGACTTTAAAGGTCATCTAGTCCAACCCCCCTGCAATAAGCAGGGACATCTTCAACTAGATCAGGTTGCTCAGGGCCCTGTCCCACCTGACCTTGAACGTTTCCAGGGATGGGGCATCTACCACTCCCCATCTCCTCCAGTGTTTCACCAGCCTTATTGTGAAAATTTTCTTCCTTATATCTAGTCTAAATCTGCCCTCATTTAGTTTAAAACCATTACCCCTTTTAACAGGCCCTGCTAAAAAGTCTGTTCCCACTTTCCTTATAAGCCTCCTTCAAGTACTGGAAGGCTGCAATAAAGTCTCCCCAGAGCCTTGTCTTCTCCAGGCTGAACAACCCCAACTCTCTCAGCCTTTCTTCATAGGAGAGGTGTTCCATCCCTCTGATTATTTTGGTGGCGCTCCTCTGGACACGTTCCAACAGGTCCATGTCTTTCCTGTACTGAGGGCTCCAGAGCTGGACGCAGGACTCCAGGTGGGGTCACACCAGAGCGGAGTGGAGGGGCAGAATCCCCTCCCTCGACCTGCTGGCCATGCTTTTTTGGGTGCAGCCCAGGATATGGTCAGCCTTCTGCCAGCTCACATCCAGCTTTTCATCCACCAGTACCCCCAAGCCCTTCTCACTAGGACTGCTCTCAATCCCTTCACCCCTCAGCCTGTATTGATACCAGGGGTTGCCCCAACCCAGGTACAGGACCCTGCACTTGGCCTTGTTGAACCTCATGATGTTCACATGGGCCTACTCCTTGAGCTGAAGTACTACGTGACCAACATACTAAGGGCCTCCACATTTTGTAATTACTGTTTTTAGTAACAGCTCATTTCTGTTAAAATGCAGTAGTTGTCTAATCTTACATTTTTATTCAAAACCAAACCCAACTTTCCTTGTGGCGAAGAAGAGATGGTTCTAAGCCTAGCTGAAGGCTGAACAAGACTCTACCCTTGGGTGTCCAGGATCAGGAGAGGATGTCAAGGGAAGTAACTTCTTGCCAGCAATTCTTGGCAATTTCTTCAAACCTCCTATACAGAAGGAATCCTTTTGATTTAGTAGAAATGCCCCATCATTGAACTTCAACTGGCTCCATTTATATAGCATTATCAAGAACTCCCTCTGGCTGCAGCTGCCACCAGAAAATTTGAGGAAATTTGGACCTGCCTGGTCTTTCTGGTAGGTTGGACCAACATGCCTTGTCCCTGGTTCCATCAACAGCCTGAGGCAAGCTATTAGAAAGTATGAATACAGAAAGAGACATCCAAAAAACAGTACTCTGAAAACAGCTGAGCTTCCATTCCGTACAATCTGTGATTACACCTAGAAAATGCCAGAACTTGCTGGTCACAAACATTATAAGATACATCTGCTTACTACTGATCACTACTGAATACTTTTAAATTCAAAATGCTTACAGGGAAAAAGCAGGTTAGTTAGCAAGTTAGTTTTCAAGAGGAAGATCAGGAAATCCCTCACTTTCAGAAATACATCCTAGCAGCAACTTACCATTGAAGCAGTTGCAAATATCTTCATGCGTGACATATGAAAACGTAATTTATGTCAAGGAAGTTTTTTCTTAAAGCAACACAAAACTGATATTTGCTGCCCTTTAAAAGAAGTTTGTCCAAACTCAGCCTAAACTATAAACTTACTGCTGTTACTCAGAAGTATAATCAAGGCATGATTTTTGTCTTTCAGAATGGCTAGTTAAAAATAGCAGTATTCTGTCTTTTAAAGAAAAAAAAAAATCTGTATCTGTGAAGAAAATACAAAAAGGAAAAAGTTGCATAGCTTGAATGAGAAGAGATTCTTCTAAAACAAAGAGAACATGTGAAATCTTGTTTTGAAGAATACTATTTACCTCATGAACTTGACACTACAGAATTCAAGTACGTATCAGGACTTCCCAGAATCACACAAAAATACTGCCAGAAGGGACTTGAGAGTTCACCTGCCATCCCATTCCCCTGCCTCAAAGTAGGATCAACTGTTAAGACATGCCAGACAGACATTTGTCTCCCCTCTTCTGGAAACCCCCCAGTGATGAATATTCCATCACCTCTAGGGAGTCAATTCCAGTGCTAGCTCTCCCAAAGGAAAGGTTCTCCTAACATCTAACTTCAATCTCCTTTATACAAAATCTATTTTACAGCAACAGTTTCTGCAAAGCAACTGCAAGCAATTTTTAAGTACTTATCACTGGTATTATAGATAAGAGGAGCAGTTTTCTGCTCCAAATGTCAGGTGTCTATTTTGCTCAGTATCTTGCCGGACAGCTAAACATATAGTTACAAGTAATGCAGCAGGAACTCTCTGCTCATGGGGTTTTTACACACAGGATACGTTTCCAGTTTCAAACCCAACAAGCTTCATGACTTTGCCAACCCAATTTATCTTTGGGTAATAGCTTAATCTTTAAAAGATAAGGAAGCAACACAAAGAGAGATTAATGTAAAGTACTGCTAAGAAAGATTAAATTCAAGCACTGGAAAGCAATACAATTGTTTTAAAATAAGACACCAGGATTATACCATTGACTTAAAAATTACTTAAATATATATATATAAATGTGTGTGTGTGCGCGCTAAATTATTTTCAGGTTACCAATCATACAGTCACAGAGGTTTAAAAAGTAATGTAAATAAGATTTAGATTTTCTTTCTTTTTCAACCAAAACCGGAAAAAAAATTAGCCTCTCCTTGCTTCTGGACAAAATGGACTAGATTATGTTTTACCCGTTACCTACACTTTAACTGTTGCTTTAATTCTAGTTCCCAGATGCACACAATTAATTTAAAAGGATATTGGTAATTTGTAGAATCATCCATGACATTCTTGATACTTTGCTGAAGCCACAGTTTCTGCTGATCCAATTCTTTTTCTTTTAGCTCTAGATCTTCAATTTCAGCTTCCAGATACCTCAGCCTGTCTATGACTTCTTTTGTATTGCAGCCAGCACCTACACCTCTTAAAAAGGCATAAGGGTTCATGAAATCACAAGAAGCAAAAATATGAAGCAAACATGCTAAAATCATTTCTTAAGACTATTTTCAACATTTTGAAAATCTAATATTCAATATGAAGGGAATATGCATTTACTCTCCCAGTAGTGTTCAGTAGTGTTTTAACACAAGAATGAAAACTCTTAACTTCAAATAAAATTTAAAATTTCCCTTTAACTATTTTCTTTTGGAATGCAGCTTTTTCTACATTGGAGCTGCTTTGCGGGCCCTTCCCCCTTCCCCTCTAACTCTTAGAAGGTGAAAGCTGAAGCAACGACCCAAGACAAAATAGGCACGGACTACAGAAGGGTAGGTAGGTGGTGACAGTGTGTCCCAGTACCCTTCCTGGATTCATCTAGAGTAAATTTTTCATCTGCAAGTGCTAGTTATGAAGTAGCAGTACAAGTTTTATGAAAGTTGCTCTCCTGTATGCTTTAAATTTGATTTTATGTATCAAAGATGCAAGTTAAAGGGAAGACAAATAAAGTTCATTTGCAACTTTAGTATAATTCTAAAATATCACATTGCTCATTGGCGAGTGTAACATTAATTTTACTGTGTCATATCTAAGCCAGGAGAAGTGGAAAGAGGCAATTTTTGTTGCTCCTGAGCACATGAAAATTTGCAAAATTGACACCACTTACTTCCACTGAATGCTGTTTTTTGACTTCTTTTCAATGAGATCAATCCCCTCCAAAACATTGGTGATATCATAGATCCTTCTCTTCTGCCTCACAGCAAGGGTATCAGCAGCCTGTCAAGAGAAGAACGACGAGTATCAGCAACTTGCATGCAGAGGGCAAAAGACAGTTAAGCCATTCCTTTGGAAAAATGCCAACAAATGTCATTCTGAAGGGAGAAGGTTCAGCTCTTCAAAAGCTAGGTGCTCAATCATGAATTCAAACGTTCAGCACCTGCATGTAGCACTACAAAGCACGCTGAGAGGAGTCACCTCTTTGAAGGCCAGAAGGTCTACCCTCGTCAGAGGGGAGAGTTCACGTGTGTTGCAAAGACCATGTTTGGTATTTGGAGCATCTGCTATTCAACTGCACGGAGGAGCTCGCAATGCTTTTTTTGGCAAGCAGGAAAAAGTAGGGAAGGCAGACAGCCAACACCCTGCAGTGGAGCAAGCCTCTGAAGCCAACAACATACTAAGTTTGTCACCCCTTCCGCTGACACTTGAGGTACTGCAGCCTTTGTCTGGATTAAACTGCGCCGGGATACGAAACGAGAGGGCTGTAATTTCACAAAGTGGCCGAAGGAGAGCTGCGATACTTCAAGCCAGCACTGTCCTCCAATGTTTCGCTGCGCAAATCCACCTCGCGGCACAGCCGGGCTCGCTCAATCTGTCAGGCCGAGTACCAAGAGCCGTTTCACAGCCACCAGCGCCCTGGTACAGCTCCGTGTGACAGCAGTGAGCTTCCCTATCCCTGTTACGTTACAGCCAGCTACGCTGTGTGTCTGCGTGCTGTCGTAGCTCATCACCCAAAGCAGAGTGTCAGGCAGAGGAAACAGTCTGCTTCATGCTGTAATTCTCTCCACAGTGATTTTTACGTACATGAGGCAAAGACTTAAGATAAAATAAGCACACTTGAGCTAGTCGTGCCTTCCACACCCTCATCTCTTTGATCCTATAAAGCAGCTCAAGTTTGAAGACTATTAGCCAAAAGGAGAGAAAGCAAAGAGGAGTCTGACTCTGTAACTACTCAGGACAATCAGATACAATTATTGCAAGGGATTTTATGTATTAAACAGATTAAAAGAAAAAAAAATAAGAAAAATAAAAAGAACAATATCTGGCAAAGACTTCTGCATCCCAAATTTGAACTAATATATAAAGCCAACTAATTTCCACTATAGGCACATAATGATTTATTTCAGTTTGTCCAACAATCTATGAAATTAATGCTTTTGGTAAAGTAGCCTATATGAAGAGTACAACCTGAGACAACCACAAATAGGAAGGAAAACCAAATCCATTTTATAGCAAAGTCCATATAACGCCTTTTACAGTATTTTCTGAACTATAAAAAAACTCACTAATCTTCCAAAGACATTACACTTTCCTATTGGAAAGTTAATTACTAGGACTTAGTAGTCCAATTTATACCAGTGAATGTTTTGCTAGTGAAGTAAAATTAAAGGAAAAAATGAAGGAAGGATGGAGATTAAAAAAAAAAAATGCTCTTATAGCCATGAAGTATAAACACTGCTCCTTCTTTCTCCTTGACAGTGATGTACCTACAGTGTACTGATAACAGTGTTTCTACTGTTATCAACATTTATCTTTTGTATTGTCTTCCATAGCAGTCTGTTAAAATCTTTTCCTAACTAACAAAACAAAATACATAAAAGCTCACACTTTAGTTCCAAAAAAACAGGCTCTTTAATCGCTTTTATCAGCAGATAGGCACCTGCTATTTTAACCTGCTATTTCTGCTGCATGCATACACACTGCTTACAATTGCGAGAGGCCTTCAAAATCTAGGAAATGACAAAATTAATGCCACCTGCAAAACATTTAATCAACACCCTGTATACCTCACAGTCTTCAGAGGCACAATTTCTACAAGCTTTCTACATTATTCAGTGCAAGGAATGGACAGCACACAATTGCTGCTATTCTGACTGATTACTTTCTGCTTTTTTCCCATTGCTCAATACATGGACCTAGGACTTAGTCTACTGTTCATGGTTTGAATTATGAAGAACATGCTCTAGAGACAGATTTCATTACCCCATGAGATTTTCCAAAATGCCTGTCTGTACAATATATAAACACTTCTTTACTAATCTTAATGTATTTTTTCAAACCAAGTTTAAGACTAAAAAAAGCCACTAATTTTGAGTACCCAACTTCAGATGTTTCAAAATTGGAGTGGTCCCAGTACTCTAAATTTTACTGCATTTCATATGCCTAAAGCAGAACTCCCATTAACACCAGAAGTGAAGACTGACTACTGCTGCAAACTTTGGAACCCCAGGCTAGGGACTGAGAAAAAGTAGGACACAGATGCATATGTATTTGACTTGACTAGCACTGTATCCAATTCAGTCACAGGTACAAAATCCAGCTACTTACAACAAGAATTACATCAATGAAATCAAACAGGGGCCAGTCTGGAAAGTTTAATCCAGGCATTCACTAACTTTGTGGTGCTGGTCTTACAACCTGACTATCTTATCAAAATTTTATGGGGTGTTTCACAGACATTTTAAAAACCAATTGAAAAGTTCCTCCTCAACACTCTAGCAGTCACCAATGTAACACCTTCTGGTAGGCATATGGCTCAGAAATTAAATTCAGGCATTCAGTTCCTTCACACAAGCCATGCACTAATGACTTCAATAATTAAAAGAGCCTCCTGAGACTTTTAAACTAATCTCCTGTTGTCAAAAACACTTTTAAAAGTCATAATTTCTCAGCCTATGTCAAATGGTTGAAGCAGATCCAGGCAGCACAGGAAAGGGACATCTACCACAATGGCCCTGTTAAGATGGCTGGATGTAGCTTCCACATTCCTTCCTCTGAATCATTTGCATGTGAAGTTACTACATAAAATCTTTTTAATGTTAAAGCTGCTGCACTCTAGTCATTCCTTCTAACATCTCCTCATACTTTGAATACATATATATCCAAGACAAGCACTATATGAGTGTCTCACAGACAGGTTCTGAACTGGAAGAAAAGCAACTAAGCACAGTGCTTAGATTGTGTAACTTCTGGAGTACAGAAAACATGCTGTTCAGCACAGTTTCAGTTGCAGGCATGTACACACACACAAAAGCCTGCCCTGAAATAAAAAAAAAAAAAAAAAAAGGCAACCGGAAAAAAGGGTAATCAAGAGTTTGGGTGCATTCTCACGCAACTTTTTTGCTCCCTGGGAGCTGACAAAAGGCGGCAGGAATTATCAGCTGCACATTCACTGCGTTAGCACTGAAGAGCAGAGGAATTCGCTAGAGCACCGTGGCAGAGTCATTACTGAGAAGCCTAACAGAACAGAAGGGCCAGCAATGCCTGCTTGCTCTCCATGTGTCAAAGGAAAGAGGTCCTGCATCTTCTGGACTGTGCCTGTAGCAGATGACAACATCTTCTCCCCAGGAGGACCATCAACAGTTTGGTGGGAGTTTTAAACAGAATGGCATGCTTGGCAACCTGTACGTAAAAGTAATGAATATCACTGCATGTATAAGGTTAAGGGAATGTAAAATTTAATAGATAGGCTTTTTCTTCTTCTGGGGAATAGAGCAAGTGTAAGGCAGGTGTTATTTGCTCCCAATCAATACACTTCTAAAGGTAGTAGCAAACAAGTAGGTTTTAGAGTACCTAACGTTTTGCACTGATCATCAGATAAACTACTTAACTGTCAGTGTAGCAGGGACAGCATTCTGCTAGAAACCAAGCCCATTTAAGAAATCAAGGCAGAAGCAATTGCATGCTACTAAAGAGAAAGAATACATGATATTTTGGGCATCATTTCAGGTGGCTTATCCCTTACTGACTCATCTTGCTCTTTCTCTCTCTTCTCTGCAATTTGTGGGCTGCTGCATATAGGAGCTTTGTTTTCTTTCCCTTCTATCTCATCCCTTCATGTTTTGAGCTTATTCCCATAACTTGATTTGTTTATGCAGGGTTATTCAGGGACAGTTATGCCACTATTTGAGAGCAGCTGTTTGATTTTAAAAGTAAGCACTATAGAATTAAAATTTCTAGTAAAGAAAATCCTCACTTCCACTTCCACTCCCACAGTTTGTCAGATATTAGCAGAGAAGTGTCCAGCACTAAAACACTTCCAAAAAAAATGTTCAGCATACAGAACTTGCAGGGCTCCCTGCACCTAGAGCGAGGAACAGTGCCCATACATAGGACAATGCATCACTTCTGCTTCATAATCGGTCAGCACACACATCTCAAAGTATCCTCTTACAGGCTGCTTAACTATAATTATAGATGCACCCAAAGATCACCACGAAATGTCCTACAGAACAGCTTTTAATTCTCAATTGCTGAATCACAAGGCTAGAAGTACACTCAAGGTTTCCAAATTGTATTTTCTTCACAGTGCCCTGCTGGTTTTGCTACAGAAATACTAATCAGCAGCACGACATCAGACGGTCAATACCTGTCAGTAGGGAGACATCTGAAGATGTTCACTGCATGAATCATTTCTTGGAACCATTTCCAACCATTGTTCCATTTCAAGACCATCCTGTTCTTCAGTTCCTTGAGCACACCGACATAATGCACATGCTGGTTTTCATTTTTCCTTAGATATGTGCCTTACTTATGAGAAATACCGCTTACAGAAATATATGTTCTGACACTGTTTATGAAAGTACCAACAATTTATTCAATTCAGTTAGTATGTACTTCCAACAAACAGTGTCCTGTAATTCAGAAACCAGTCTCCAAGAGCTGTTGAGCAGAAATGCCAACAACTTGTTGCAATGCTCACATACTTTTCCCTGGCTACCAACCCCGACTCTTCCATTCCCCCTGGGTGGATACCTTCCTCAGAAAAGGGAATGAGAAACACTGCCCCGTTCCTCTACACAGCTCAACTCTACTGTTCAAATCCATCCTCCTTGGCTCGTTAAGCTAAGCTTTTTGGCCTCATGTCTTACAAATTAAGTATGATTTGCTGCTCAAACTGACCTGGAACACCTCACAGCACATGACAGATAATAAAGCTGCACAATAGACCCGAGATGTGGACCGCTTAGTTCCGCTTTACTAAAGCAAGAGGCAGTTAAATACTAAGAAGTTAATCAACTTCTCCAGACCACAGCATATCTAAAGGACAAGTATAAAACCTATCAGCATCCTTCCCAGTTCACCCTGAAGCTGCACTGGCCACAGCAACACCACTGAACAGCTTGCTCTCTGAACAGAGATGCATAAAAAGCTCCAAGAACACCGTTCACCTCCTGGAGCCTGTTAAGGATAATCAACAAATAAGGTCAGTTTTCCAGAAAGGACTTCAAGCAACCGAAGTGCCAAGCCAGACTCTTACTGCACTTTGCTTAACTCCTCAGCATTTCGCCAAGGACATTAACCAGCCAGGCAAAATACACTTTTGCCTTGACGCGCTGCACATACCGACAGCCCCGAGCAGAGCCCCAGCCCCTCGGCCAGTGCGCAGTGTGGTCCAGGGAATCGGCAAGCGGGACACCGTGCCGAGGGTCCCTCCTGTGACAGAGTGACCTCCCGGCACAAGGTGGGCTCACCCCAGGCCGTCATCCGGGAAGGCCTCCCGCTGTCGCCCAACACCTTCGTGCCTCAGAGGCAGCGGGCCGCAGAAGCGGGTGACACTGACTTGCCACCCACCCGCTAATTAAGCATCTTTTACATATATTTAAAAAAAATAATAAGGCGGCGATGGTCTGTTTTTCGACATTGTCTTCCCTTGCTAAAAGGTCATCGAAGAGGGACGGGTGAGAAACAGGTTTAAGTAACAGCCCGCACACTGAGTCAGTGCAGGAGAGTAAAAAAGAAAGAAAAAAACCCCGGTGAGCTACGTTTTATGCACGGTAACCACTTCACCCTCTTTAAAAAGAGTTGGGGAGCGTATTTTAGCTGACCGCTAAAAGCGTATTTTAGCTGACGGGCTGTCAGCCATCACGAGGCAACCCCCGCCGCCCGGGCAGCCCGGCCCCAGCG